CTCATATTGGCTCCTACATATTCTACGAAGATCTTTTATCGATCAGACCGCATAACAACATACGTTGTTCCCTTTGTCATCGGTATGTTACTTGCCCGAGATTCGATCGTCGGTATCCCATACCTAGTTCAATCTCGTTACCGGCAAGTCTCTTTACTCGTTCTGTAATACATCATCCCGCAACTAACTCATTAGTTGCAATGCTTGCAAGGCTTAAGTGATGTGCATTACCGAGAGGGCCCAGAGATACCTCTCCGGCAATCGAAGTGACAAATCCTAATCTCGAAATACGCCAACCCAACATGTACCTTTGGATACACCTGTAGAGCTCCTTTATAATCACCCAGTTATGTTGTGACGTTTGGTAGCACACAAAGTGTTCCTCTGGCAAACGGGAGTTGCATAATCTCATAGTCATAGGAACATGTATAAGTCATGAAGAAAGCAATAGCAACATACTAAACGATCGGGTGCTAAGCTAATGGAATGGGTCATGTCAACCAGATCATTCAACTAATGATGTGATCCTGTTAATCAAATGACAACTCTTTGTCTATGGTTAGGAAACATAACCATCTTTGATTAGCAAGCTAGTCTAGTAGAGGCATACTAGTGACACTCTGTTTGTCTATGTATTCACACATGTATTATGTTTCCGGTTAATACAATTCTAGCATGAATAATAAACTTTTATCATGATATAAGGAAATAAATAATAACTTTATTATTGCCTCTAGGGCATATTTCCTTCACACTACGGTGCTTCGATTCGAGGTAAGCTCTACACGAAAAAGATGCACCTCGATGCTATGGTTCCATTCAGGCGATCGGTTCGTAGTTTCGTCGGCCGTAAGTTCTTAATCTCGTGTTCCCTTTTGGAGCTATTCTGGACGAATTTTGTCAGATTCGTCGCGGACGATCGATCATTTGAAATTTCCTTTGACGAGCAGCATAATCTCGCAGTCCCTCACAACATTCGTGTTTTAAGTTTTTGGTTTCGACGATCGTAGCTTAATCTCTCTTTCAACAGCAGTCTATTGCACTGACGCCGCCATGTCAAGCTCCTCTGTCCTCTGCCCCGAGCCCTCCTATTCGTACCTCTCGACGCCAAAGCCCTTCCCCTTGATCTCCTTGCCCGCGTGCTACTACAGTAGAGTCGTTTCCGACGTCGCTCATCTCGGCCTACTCTCTGTCGTCCTCCTACTGCACTGACGCTGCAATGGCGCGCACACTGCTTTCTTGTGTCCTCTGCCTTCGCGCACACCGCAGTTCACCGCGCCGCCGACGGGGTCGATCATCTTCGCCTCCTCTCTCTCGCCCTACTACATTGGAGTCATTTCCGGCGTCGATCATCTCGGCTTCCTCTCTCGTCGACTGCACTGACGATACCATGGCTCGAGCACTGCATTCTCCTTCTTTGCCCACTGTCTTTGCGCGAGCACCGCAACTAGTTCACCGACGGTGTCGCTAGCCGTGCCGCCGGCGGGGTCGCTCGTCCATGACTCCATGCTCGTCATGTCGGACACGGCGCCACGGCCACTATCCACCGCAGTCGCCGAAGTCGATATATACAGGTAACCATCACAGGGCCGGTCACACCGTCTGTCAGCCTCCGTGCAATAGTTTGGTATCCATGTGATGCGCGCACACAGCCTTTTTGACCGGCAACGTGCAGTTGTAGTACTGCTTTGCAATTGGCATGTCTGCTGCTTTGCTTTGATCTGAGCAATCGCCCTCTCTCTCTCCTAGTAGATTATATATTTGCTCAGTCTCCTGCCTAGCTTGATTTTGCCTTCATCAACGCCAGGGACAGGCATGCATGCATGGCACATGCAGCAACATGCACTGGCAGACCCCTCAGCTTATACTAATGCACACTTAGTAACTGATGGCAAGTACAGTAACTAGCAAACCATCTTGCTTGACGTACGTGCCGTCCACTCACGAAAAGCAGCTAGCAAGCTAGCTAGCTAGCTCATGTTGCCCAACAGTAACCTACATAGAAAAGTGAGTCAGGGAATGCTACGTACAGAGGAACATATGAATGTTCAACCATGGGCTAGGGGGCTAACAAACAGATGTACTACGTGTCTGTCTATGACTGGGCCATCTTCTTCCACGGAGGAAAAAAGGGGCACATGGGCAGGATCTATTTGCGTCCATTTAAAATGGAACCACATCGATCAGAGTGTGTGTGGTGTGTGCCAAGGCTCAAGGCAGCAGCTGCCGGAGCGTGTGAGTGCCAAGGCTCAAGGCGGCTATATAGCTGGAGTGTGACTGTGAGTCTGAGTGAGGCAGATCAGATTCAGATCCATCTACATTCATAATTTTGCTTGGGTGAGAGTGCGTGAGGGAGATCGCCCCAGCTTCGATCTGCCAGTTGCAAAGTTCATCATAGGCTGCGGACCATCGGTATGAAGCTCCTGTTCCAGTGCCCCTGCTGCGCGTGCTTCTGCTTCGTCAGGGCCAAGAAGAGCAGCCAAGGCAAGCAGGGAGGAGCTGGAGATGACGGGGGCAAATTCCAAGGGACAACCACGGCCATGTAGCTCTGGTTTTGCTTCTTAAATCTGCCACTGGTTGAGCCAGTTCTTATATATCTTCAGGTCTTTCAGCATGACTAGCTTTGCTGTTCTACATGCTCATGTTAGTTGCTTCCTTGTAGCACGTCCTTCATCATCTGTCTCTTCAATTCGCTATGTAGCTACTGTCTTTGTAATTCATGACTTGTCAATCAGAATGTTTCGTGCCTTCGTATTTTGATTGTGTGTGTGGTCTGGTCCATAAAGGGCATAGTAATTATGTAATTTGGTGGACTCCCCCTTTGTTAGTTTGCCTTTTCAGGTTAAATTTTATCCTCAGATTTGGTAAGCAGCAGCCTTCCCAGCTAGTATTGTTTCTTGTGCTGATTTGCCAGTACTTGCATGGGGGTTTGGGGAGTTGCACAACCAAGCTCTACTCGAGTGGTTAGTGGAGTTTTTCTTAGCTCTACGCCGGATGTTTTGACATTCTATTTATCTTGTTAAAAACAGATTATTCTTTCAATGACACGCAGTGTATCTATGGACAACGAGACGTCTATGATAATTTCGTCAATCTTTGAACTTAACCATTTCAATCTTTAGTAGAGTAGTACACATGTGTTGCATGACCGCGGATGTGGTGGTGCGGTGTTGCACTTGGTGTTACACAAACATCCAGAACAACGAGAATTAACAGTGATAGATAGTGGTGTTTAATTTCCAGCAAATCCACCATGCTATTTAATTCCCATGCCAGGAGGATCTGCAGGGCATGAGACTTCATCATTAACCTTAAGTGGGTCTAGTTGTTTTTTGTGAATACTTAAAAAGGTCTAGTTGTTGCCACGTGGACATGGTGTGGCCACTCTTTCTATTTTCATATTTTTTTCTGACAACCTTCCTATTTTCACATGCCAGTTACACTGCCTTTGAATTTTTTTGTAGGCGGTCAGTTACACTACCCTACAAAAGTGGGTAATTAGTTCCACTACCCTAAAAAAGTGAGATGTTTAGCCTCGAAGCAAGAGAGAAATCCATGTGCTGCTGCAAGTATATAAGAAGCCCCCTCCCTCCTCTATATCCATCTTTCATACAATCCATCTTGAAGGTCTTAAACTGTCATACAATCCTCTTAGTCTTTCATAAGAAATCTCATGGATCTGTCCATGAAAGTTGTTTGTGGTCGTTCTCCTGCTTCTTGTGACCACATGCATCTAGAGAGGAGGGTTTAACGATGCGGGGTTACTTACCGGTGGGTTGGGATTTCAAAGTGTGAGTTTTCATACCACCGGTCCAACGTAATTCCTCAACTCAATATCCTCAAGAATCAATTAAAGTATTCCTCAACTCGGCAGCCTCAAGTATCAATGGTTGGCCTCCTTTCTTCAAACTATCGTGTATACACCACCTCATTAGATGCATCAACCATCCTGGACTTGAAAACTTGAAATAAGAGGAGGTCTAAAGGTTGGGGAGGAAGGGGACTGAGGAGAGATTGGATTGCAACACAAATGGAACACCGAGGTCAAGGACGAGAGTCTCTAGGGCATGGAGAGGCAACATGGGAGGAAAACGGGACGATGGGGTAGAGAGGGTTCTTTTGTAAAGAGGCGTGCATGTGCAATATTCATGGGGGCTTCATCAGGGATTCCGTCTGATGGCTACAGCTACATAACACACAGATTCAATGGGCGATTTCGTTAAATTTTCTAATTAGCGTGGGAATTTTGGCTGAGAATCATACAGGCTAATCTCCATGCAGTAAATCGGTCCCAATAGATGAATGACTCTTCATTTTTTATTAACATGAGAATTTCTAGGGAATCTCTAGTTAGTATAAGCATACATAGATATAGAATAGATAGATAGATATGGATATTAATAGGTATAGATATAGATAGAGATAGAGATAGAGATAGAGATAGAGATAGATAGATAGATGTGTTGCGTGAGCGCATAGTGGTGGTGGTGTGTTGGACTCGGTGTCACCAACAACCAAATTGACAAGAGAATCAACAACGAATTCACCGTGCTATTTAATTCCCAGCAAATTCACCATGTTATTTAATATTCATGCCAAAAGGACTTGCAGGGCATCAGAGTTCATCATTAACCTTAAGTGGGTCTACTTGCTGCCACGTGGACATGGTGTGGCCACTCTTTCTATTTTCACATGTTTTTTTTGACAACCTTCCTATTTCCACATGTTAGTTACACCGCCCTTGATTTTTCTTTTGGACGGTCAGTTACACTACCCTACAAAAGTGGGCAATTTGTCGCGCTACTATACAAAAATTGGTAATTAGTTACACTACCCTACAAAAATATGTTCGCTTAGGCTGGAAGCAAGAGAGAAAATTATGTGTTTGCTGCAAGTATATAACAAGTCCCCCTCCCTCCTCTACATCCACCTGTCAATACAATCCATCTTGAAGGTCTTAATCTGTCATACAACCCTCTTAGACTTTCATACGAAATCTCATGGATCTCTCCATGAAGGTTGTTGTGGTTGTTCTCCTGCTTCTTGTGACCGCAGGCACGTATGCTATTATTTGAGATAATTAACAATACTGCTAAAATTATATGTGTGAGATTACTGATTTGCTTTATTAATTTTGCCCCGTGTAGAGGACCAGGGACCAGTGCAGCTAGCTTTGGCGAGGGACTGTCAGTCAAAGAGCTTCAAGTTCAAGGGGATGTGTGTGCGCGATGATAACTGTGCAAGTGTTTGCCTGGTCGAGGGTTTCACCGGAGGCAGGTGCAAGGGCTTTTGGCACCGTTGTTACTGCACCAAGGACTGCTAGATGGCCCTGATTTGTCTATTGCATGTATGCTTCCGTGTAATAACTAATAACAGAATAATAGATCTATATCTATGTATCTATGCATGCCTCTGTGAGTGATGCTCGTCTGAGATTCGTGAACTAATACAAGTAAACGAGCACGCCTAGGATGCCTCTCGAGCTAACTACGATAGAGATGTCGCACGGATAGAATGAGCCATGAAAGAGCGGAATATAGTGCGGGGAACCCAAAAGAAGACAAGGCTTAGCTGGCAAGCCATTACATCGTATAATAATCAGAACAAAGCTTGACGGATATATGATCTGAAGAAAGGTAGAGACTTGAGGGATCCATATTAGATCATCTCAATGTAGATAGATAATCTATAATTATTTCGCTCAACTCCTTCCTTTATATCAACAACCAACGACCTTCGAACAACTAGCTTTGATACCACTTGTTAGAATAATCTTAGTTGCATCGTCGATCATCTGAGGACCAAGCAATTATACGTGACACAACACCAAGATTTGTTAACGAGTTTCACCAAACATGGTTACACCCGGGACATGAGTACATGCGCTCCTCACTGTGACACCGTCACAATACCGCACACCAGCCACCCGGTGCCGGCACCCCCCCCCTGCGTGCATGTGCTATTATATTGACATAGATTATATCGTGTGTCTACCTCCACATATACATTATATAAGAGGCATAGAATAGAAATGTCCTATTAGAACACAACTCAATACCCTATCTATACACCATACGACTTAGAGTCCAACTGTAACCTACCTTGTATAAAATATTTGACACAACTCTAACAAGTATAAGTATAGATGGATATAAATATATAAATGTAGATATAGATAGATATAAATATAGAAGTATAGATATAGATATGGATATGGATATGGATATGGATATGAATATAGATATAGATATAGATAGATACATGTGTTATGTGAGCGCATATGTAGTTGTGGGGTGTTACGGCAACATTCAAAACAATCGAGAATCAACAACGAATTCACCATGCTATTTAATTCCCATGCCAAGAGGACTTGAAGAGCATGAGAGTTCATCATTAACCTTAAGTGGGTCCTGTTGCTGCCACGTGGGCATGGCATGGCCACTCTTTCTATTTTCACATATTTTTTCTTGCGAGCAGTCAGTTACACTACCCTACAAAAGTCGGTAATTTGTTAGGCTACCATACAAAAATTGGTGATTAGTTACACTGCCCTACAAAACTCTGCTCGCTTAGACTCGAAGTAAGAGAGAAATCTATGTGTTGATGAAAGTATATAACAAGCCCCCTCCCTCCTGTACATCCAGCTATTATACAATTCGTCTTGAAGGTCTTAAATCTGTCATACCATCCTCTTAGTCCTCCATAAGAAATCTCATGGATCTCTCCATGAAAGTCTTTGTGGTCGTCCTCCTACTTCTTGTGGCTATTGGTATGTATGTTATTGTTTGAGATAATTCACAATACTGCTAAAATTACATATGTGAGATGACTGATTTGCTTTATTAATTTTGCCCCGTGCATGTAGAGGACCAGGGACCAGTGCAAGTAGCTTTGGCGAGGGACTGCAAGTCACAGAGCTACAAGTTCAAGGGGATGTGCGTGCGCAATGACAATTGTGCAAGTGTTTGCCTGACCGAGGGTTTCCCCAGAGGCAAGTGCAAGGGCTTTGCATGTTCCTGCTACAAGGATTGCTAGATGGCCCTGATTTGTCTATTGCGTACATGCTTTTGTGTAATAAAAATTGAATAAATAATAGTAGATCTATATCCATGTATGTGTATATGCAAGCATATGCATTTGTGACTGATGCTCGTCTGAGATTCATGAACGGTTACAAGTAAATGAGCACGCCAGGAAACCTCTCAAGCTACCCACAATCGAGAAGTCGCGCGGATAGAACAAGCAATGAAAGAGAGAAATACCCCCGCAAAAAAAAATGAAAGAGAGAAATACAGTGTGGGGAACCCAGAAGAAAAAAACCCGAGGCTTAGCTAGAAGGTCATTACATCATATAATAATCGACACAAATCTTGACGGATATATGATCTGAATAAGAGCAGCTCCATTACATGATACAAATTTGGAGATGTAAAACTAGGAAATGTAAAATTTACATCACCAAAAAGTGCATTTTACATCTCCAAAAAAAGAGGCAACTCCAACAGGTGATGTATATTAGAGATGTAAAAGAGCAACTCCAATAGATGATGCAAAATGGAGATGTAAAAACTAGTGGGCGGCGGCAGTGGGGACGGCGGTGGCACAACATGATTCCGGGCGGCGGCGGCTGTGTGTG